ATTGCGATGCAATGCGAATTATTTGTACTTTTACAAATCACGCAATGTATAAAAATATCTAATATTGGATTCACGACTTACTCATTACACCGTTTATAATTGACTAATGTTGACTAAATATAATATGGTTGTCCGATATCCAATCCGAAGGTGAGGTGATTATCACAGAATGCTTTGTATACGATCTTTTATGCGATAATTTTAAATAATTTCTTTATGTTGTTAATATATTTAATAAGGGGCTATTATGTAAGTTCATGGCTAATGAGGATTAAGTAAAGTCGGAACGCACCATTGAAAATTATGATTGAATAAAATAATATCACATTGTTATAATTAATATAGCTCGTTTAATTTATGACCTGGGTTGGTTTCTATATTTGATCTAATATTGAGAGAGAGAGAGATATTGATTATTAACTTCAATTTAATAATATTTACTTTCTCTCTCTCTCTTTCTCTCTCTCTCTTTCTCTTTCTCATAAAATACTATAATAATTTTGTAAGATCAACGATTTGTATACAATTTAAATTTTTTATACACACAAAATACATCATTAAATTTAATAAGTTCTTTTTGTGTTCTATTAAATATATATTTTAGTATTTTTCTTAACCCATTTTTTTCTCATTTTCCTATTCATAGAACATTTTTTTTATTTATTTCTCTATATGTATGTATATAGCATCTTTTTAGTTTTTTCTACATATGTATACATATATAATCCATATATATTAAAAAGATGTTCTTCTATAAATATGACGATGGGAAGAAATAAGTCAAGTAATAATAATAATAAATTGATTAATTTTAAAAATTAATAGATCTTTTAAAAATGTCAATGTAAAAGAAATAACCGTAACGACTATTGCGCTGTGATACTTTGGACGAAAGAAGATTTTCGAATCTAAATAAAATTTACAAACGTTCCTAGAATACGAACAACGAAATCCATCGATCCTCGAAGTTGAACACGAAAACCGTCGCGTAACCTGTTTCGTTTACCAGCTGGCACGGTCTCTTCCGGTACGAGAAACGTACGGTTGCTTCGGAAAGTGCCTAATCGTGTCTACCAGACGAAACTGCGACGACTCTAAGGGAAATCACTGTAAATCGAATCGAGTACCGAAACCGTTAGTTTAAGGGGAAACAGGAATGTATTTTCATATCCTGAATATAACTACATCGAACAAGTTGATGACGCAGTTTACCAAATAATTAAACTAAGCCAACCGATTACAGCAAAGCCAAAATCCTACAAACAGTAATTCTGCCAATATCATGCGCGAAATCTAGCGACACAGTGTTACGCGATACATTACGTGAGACGCGCTTTTCCATCTATTTGCCATGTCGTTTTCTACGCGAGATGTAACTTTCGCAACATAACCACAACCACGATTCTATCCAGCACCGTTGCTGGAAACCCAACACCGACCACATCTAACGTGTCCACGTTTGCACAGTCAAATCTTACTTTCTCGCTCGCAGACACCTTTTTCATTCGCGAATCTCTCCTTCCTTTTTCGCTCTCACTTTCTATAAATGTATCTGACTCTGCGAGCGGACGCATTAAACCCTCGGAAAGTCCTGTACAGACTCGTGTGAAGTTGGCCCTCAACTTTTGAAAAAATTAACTTTCTATAGCTCATTCGAAATTTTCTATTGCTCATCATTTGCACATGTATGCACATTTTGAATTTTTGTTTGCACCTTTCTGGTCAAAAAGTTATTTAAAAAACAATTTTGAGAATCTAATTTTACACTAATACCCCAACTACGAGTAAATTAGATTTAACTAGACTCTATCGTTAGATTTTCGTTTGTACATTCCGAAACAAATCGATTTTTTGTTTACATCCTTCAGTTAAAAAGTTATTATAAAAAAATGTTATTATCAAATAAATGTTGAGGGTTTAACTTTATTATAGAAATACGTTATCGTCTCTAATTCAAAAGAAACAAGTTGGTTAATAACTTTTTAGTTAAAAAGTTTTTAACAATTAAAGTTTCGAGGACAGTCGACTCAGGTAGATAAATTTAAATCGCAGTTACTATACTCAAAATCATGATGATATTGGAAATAGTAACTGCGATGAATCTATCTACCTGAGTCGACCGTTCTCGAAACTTTAATTGTTAATCATTTTTTAACTAAAGGTTTTTTAACTTTAAATCTAGTTTGCTCGTAGTTGAGGTTGGGAGTTAGTGTGAAATTAGCCTCCTCAAAATTGTTTTTTAATAACTTTTACACCAGAAGTGTGCAAACGAAAATTCGAATTGTGTATACATGTGCAAACGATGAGTAGGGTAGAGCGGGGCTAATTGTGACACTTTTTCTTTAAATTATTATAAATCTTTACACAATTATGATAGACTAATGGTAAATGCTTTAAAACTGTTGCATGTTCATCTGGCTCAATAATTAAGTACTTATAAATTTTTAATATATCTCGTAAATAAGAAAAAAATTACGTTAATTACAAGGATGCAAAGTGGACCAATATGCCCCATTTATATCTTGTTGCATGTTGAGCATCCTCGAAGGATAAATTGAGCCATAAAGATAATCGTTTAATGAGGTTATATATTATTATATAAAAACATGAAAGAATTATGTGTATATTAATCAAATTTTTATTATTTGCATTTTAAATATAATAATTTGTAATATTCTTTCTTTTTAAATTCTTTAATTAACAAAATTAGGAAAACTAAAATCTTTACTCTTTATAATAATAATTAAACGTAAAATATATGTTTAATCGTTAACATAGAATAAAAAGCATTGATAAAGACAGATTTTATTTAAGCAGCTGAGTTTATAAGGTTAGTTATGAGGTAACAAGCCCAACAAGCCCCATATCGGTGTTGACTGAAATACTTTTTTATAATTGAAAAACTGTAAATAAAATAGCAACTTGAATATTAAAGTTAAAAAGTACGATAATAACTTATATTCAAAAAATACATTTGATTGTTATTAATCGCTTTAATTATCATGTAGATCAAAAAGAATACTTACCTAATAATATTACTTTTGATATACGAAGACGAAAAAGCGCACGTATTTGACTGTTGACAGCCAGACACAGTATTGTATTAAGGCACAGTGATCTCTTTGTGCTACATTACACAAGCATAGATATATCTATATATATTTTGGTTATTTAGATATTTGCATTTGACCACTTGTTCCTATGTTCAAATAGCCCCGCTCTACCCTAATCGAATGAGTTATAGAAAGTTAATTTTTTCAAAATTTGGAGGGGGCCAACTTTACACGGGTCTTGTTCAGTTAGACTTGAGAACTTTGCGTGACTAATTGTTTATCCCTTTTCGTTCTCTCTTTGTGTCCGTATGTACACGCGTGTGTATACGTGCGTGTGTTAATTTACAATCGTTATTTTATTTTAATTTACGCGAAAATAACGGGATTCGAGGAACGTGTCGCAATTGTGTTGCGCTTCTATTTTATTAGTCGATAATTTTAAGGAAATTACAGACGTAGATAGGAGGCTTATTAAAGCTAACAATGTCGTTATTAAATCGCTAATTATATTATTACATTATGTCTGAAACAAGCGAGAGAATGTGCTCTTTTCCGCCGTAACTTGGACACGTCCCGAAAGGAAAAGCGACGCAACGAGTTCCGTGAAAATGCATTCCGTGCTGAGCACATCACGTTGCCGCATCTGCAGCCTAAGGTCGTTGGTACGACAGTAGGCAGACAGGCCAGGCAAGAGCAGGCGGCCTGCAGTCCCCAGAGCAGGATCGTTGTACGTCGTTGAATGAGTTCTTTATGTCGGCTTGACGATGATAGGAATCGCGGTTATGGCGCCGATGCCTTCTTCAGGTCTTTCCTCCAGGCCTCTCCTCGAGACCTCGAGTGTATCGGCGGCGATCGAGAGCGGCGAGCGGTCGGCAGAGAAGGGTTAAGCCGTTAGTCGAACCGGTGCCGAATTGACCCCGCCCGAGTGCATTAGACGATGCTGATGGTCGACGTTGCAGTCTCCGCACGAGACCGTACCGATCCCGTCGTCGTAACGCGCGATACGGTCTCGTATTATTACGAAACGACGATCAACAGCTGTCGCGTGGCCGCCACGTATGGGGTGCGAGAGGGGAAGCAGAAAGGGTCTAGCGAGACTGGATCTGCACGAGAGCTACCACCTGGCCCCGGCACAGACCACCAGGCTTCCATTACCACGTGGCGGTTACCGTAGCGGAGATCCGATTCGAACCCGTACTTTGCCACCTTCTCATGCTCTCGATTCTACGCAGAAAATTAGAGAGAGAGAGAGAGAGAGAGAGAGCAGACAATCACTATATATTGTGCACAGGACGATTAAGGGTGCGGACGTGTATCAACCGTTCCTCTAATACATAAAATATATATCTAGGAACCGCGAGTAACGTCGTCATTATTTTTCGTGAAATAACAGATAGTAGTTATGCGGTTTTTTTACGGATGATAAATTCTCAATTTCCATTTTTAGCCTCAAAATGAAGTGAGTACAGATTTATATATATATATATATACTGAGGAATCTTCATTAAAATATAATGTGCGGAAAACGAGGTATTACGGGATACATGAATATGCGCGTGCGCGGGCGCGCGAGTTAGATATGAGACAAAAATCACGTTATGCATGTAAATATGTCAGATTAAATACTAATATAAATGTCATGCCATCCTCGTGTACGCAGGGGAGCAGTATTTGCGCAGAGTTATCCGCCAAACATACTTTATCCGATTAAACGCAAACGGCCGCTAAAATTCGTAATGGTGCCCTGGAAATGGCATGCAGTATTTTTGCATCATATCTTCCGCAAAGGAGGGAACGAGGCGGCGAAAGGTAGGACGGATCGATCCATAAACAAACCCAACGGTAGCCAAAGAGACGACTCACGTGGTACTGCGTTCAATTGACGTCTTTTGCAAATGATATTCGGTATGCGCGCAATGAGAATGACATCTTATTAAATTAAATCTCTTTATTGACTTAAGAAACTCTTCCTCCTGTCATCATAAAATGTTGTTAACGCCGTTACAATGCGTTGCAATAATTGTATTTAAATTTGAAGCCATTAAAATTACGCGATTGTTTTCTCTTTCTTCTCAATTACAATCTTCTCCAAGCACATCGGTCACTTTGCCGTCAGCATCTAACATCGGTTCGTGTCTCATCAGTCTGTAGCGATTGTCGAGATGAATGGCCGGCTTCCATTCTTTGAACTGAATCAACTGAAACAGATACAAGAGAAATATTTTTAAAAACATGAATTGTAAAGAATTTACTTTTACATAATCTTAACCCTCAATCGGCAATGGGAATTTCACCCTTTGTACAATCTGATCTTCGAACTTTGGTGTAAATGTTTATATTGTTCTGGACTATATATATAAAAATCTGAAAAAATTCTTATATACTTGTAAAAGCTTTAACAGAGTTTTTATTAAATGTTGAAATGTATTTTACTAATTTTTTACTTATTTTTTTATATTTAATCTATCATTCTTTACAGATTAAATTTATATGTATAAGAATTCACAATAAAACATCGACTGTATATTTAAAATTCAACATTACCGTTAAGGTTAAAATCGTGATAATTATCAACAGTGTGAGCAAGTGTTCTAGCGATGAATATATAGATTTAATTTTATTATTTTATATAGTGGGTGTATGAATGCACATGTTATTTTCCTGTAACGATTATATCATATTTAAATATCAGTTGAAACAAATACAAGAGAGCTATTTTTAGAAACATAAATTGTAAAGAATTAATTTTTATACAATTTTAATAGCATAATAATTATCAACATACAAATACTCTGAATATATAGATTTAATTTTATTTTGTATTTTATACAGTGAATGTATGGTATATATGTATGAGTGCTCGCGTTATTTTCCAGTAACGATTATATGATATTTAATAATTCACAGCCTTATATTATAACAATAGCAAAATATCATAACAGTAACAGACGAACAAAAAACTGAATAATTTAACTGACTAATTGAATTGATCGATTAATTGAAAATAATAACTTTGTCAAGTCAACATTATTTAACAATTCTTTGAACATTGATCGATGTCTATTTATCCGTTTTATTGGACATTCTCTCTTCTTGAAATATGTCGAATTTTCGCGAGCGTGTCTTACGTTTAACATGACGTGGATTTTTTAAATGAAAGACGGGAAAGAGCAGCGAGGACGATGGCGCATTATCGTCCAAAAGTCGACACGACAGTCATACAGTGTCGTTACCGAAAATCCTGGCGACATCGCTCGCAATAAGCCGCTTACCTAGTGTACTCCTATCCTCTTTTGCAGTCTACCCGTCTACCCTCCGGACTATGGAGTTGCTCGTAGCCACGGCTGTCAATATTAAATCGAGCCACGTCTCATGTGCCAATGATGAAAATAGTTAGAGGACCATTGTGACCTTGGCGACATCGTTTAATTATTTAATAGTCGTGATTCAGTATCTCTTGCCCTAAATCGCTGGATCGTCAAATAATATTGCACAGAGAGATCGGAGATTATTCGTAAAGCAACAACATATTTTCCTCTTTTATTTTATTTTATATTTTTGCATTAAATAAAGGTGCATTATTATTGAAGGGTCTTGTTTATCTCGCGGTCGCATCAACGCGGGTTCCGATCCTTGAAGCGACGAGACGTCGTCATCGATAAGAGATTTTTCGGATTCGAAGGTAAGCGATGAGGACGTGCCTACGTGGCATTTTTCGTATTTACCCGAGTCCTTTTGTGCACGCGAAGGGATGGCGTGATGAAAGGCCCGAGCCGAACAAAAAGCACAAAAGCTATCTCGGAGTCGGAGCAATGGCCG